CTATCATCACTCCTACTCAATATAGTTCTAGAATCATTAGCTAGAGCTAGTAGACAAAAGAGAAATAAAATGAGTAAGAATAGGTAAAGAATTTAAACTATCATTATTTGCAAATGACATGATATTATACTTGGAAGATGCAAAAAACTCCACCAAGAAGCTACTAGAATTGACACACAATTCAGTAGCATGGTACGATACAAAGTCAATACCCATAAGTCAATACAATTCCTCCACACAGATAACAAACACACTCACAGGGAAATTAGAGAAACAATACCTTTTTTATTTTTATTTTTTCCCCATAATTTTATTGAGAAACAAATAGCAAGGACACAGTTTCAAATTAAATTGGTAGGACAATTTCAATAATTAACACATTGCATACATTCTTCCTAGTGATTAATTGCTGTACAAGATGATATCCTATTTACAAACACCATTAGAACAAATCCCTCCAATCATTAACAGAATGTAACTATATATCTATTCTAACCATTTTGAATACACAGATATAAAATGGACATTCATCTATATCCCCTTTTTTTGTTTAGTTCTGTTATTTGAATATTAGAGGTGTGTTAACTCAGCAAAATATTCTAAAAGAGTCCAGTAGTCCATAATAGTATTGGGTCTTCCACTTCACTGCAATGTCAGAAATTGTTGACCTGAGTCCCCTCAGCTCAACATAATAGCATGGCTTTACTTCTTATATTTCATTTTTATACTTTTCTGCTGGATGATTAAGACCAAGATAAAGCAAGACCTATGCAAGGAGAGTTGTAGCTTTTGGGTCTTATAAGGTCAGTCAAATCCCCTCAGGATTTATCCTGAGATCATGTACCTCAGATTGTAGATCCTTTGTCATTGTCAGCCATGTGGATGAGTCACGGCCATTGCTTGGCCAGTGTACTCTCTGTGAAAGCCTGAGAGAATGTTTTCTCTCCATGTGATTCTCCTTAGGCACACTCTACATCATTGATCACTTTCCTCTTTGGCCCCATAATCTCCTTGATCAGAAAATTTGGGACACTGCTGGGTTACGTGACATTACCGTACAAGTTCTCATATGTCCTGAGTCTTACTTAACCTTGGAAGACTAGGCCCAAAATATTGTCTTTCCTTGTGGCCCTCCTTGATCTCTAATTTTGTTCTGCAAACTTAGGTTGTTAACCATCCAGAAGAGAAGTTTATTGTTATTACCATACAACCAAGGGTGTTAAGCCTAATCTATCTGTCTGAATATCAAACATCTTAGACGTAACATGGACCAGGTATTTTTCATCAAGTATTGGCATGTTGAACTTTAAGTCCCTACAGAGTATGATGAAAAAACATTTTAAAAATAGAATATATTTTAAAAATAGGCATAAGGAATTATATAATTCTTATGTTTACACATAAGTCCAAAAATCAAGCCTTATACAACCTTGAAGCAGAACAGACCCACAACATTCCTTTTCCTGTCTCCTGCCTTCTTCCACCACTCCCCTCTTTTTGAACAATCATCTACGTGAGAAGCAGCACAACAGCAATTGGCATGTCATGACAAGCAGCCCGTATGCAAAAGACCAGAATGACAGACACTCCAAGCATGAACCTACTATTATAAATTGCCATCTTCAGTGCAGTTGCTTAGTTCACAGGTGTCAGTATATATAGTTAGTCAGGGTAAGAATCTTTCCAATTAACTACTAGATTCAAAAATCTTCTGGAGATTCTCAGGATCATTGCCTTGCCCATCTTCTACATATAACTGTATGGCTTGTCACTGTCATGTTTCCTAGCTCTTCTCCTTTTCCTCTCTTAATTAGTTAATCCTCGAGTTCTTGCTTTCCTTTTACTTGCATTATACCTTTCTATTTGTATTTCTTCTTTTGAGTTCTTATACTAGGGAAACTATACAATATTTACACATGTTCGTCTGGTTTACTTCACTTATGAGTATATGTTCAAGTGGCATCCACTTATATATAAAGGCTTCAAATTTATCATTCTTTATAGCTGAGTAATACTCAATTGTATAAAAATACCACATATTTTTCATCCATTCCTCAGGTGATGGGCATCTTAGTTGTTTCCAAGATTTGGCTATCACAAATTGTGCTGCTATAAACATAGGCATATATATATCCCTATGATATGATGTTTGCAGATCCTCCGGGAAACTTCCCAGTAGAGTAATAGCTGGTTTAAATGGGATTTCCAGTCCAAATTAGAGAAACAATACATTTTACAATAACACCATGGAAAATGAAATACCTTTGAATTTTTCTAACTAAAGAAGTGAGAGAGATGACTCACTGAGCTGGGGAGATGACTCAGTAGAATAAGCACTTCCCTAGCAAATGCAAGGACGTGAGTTCAATCCCCAGTTCTGCAAGAAAAAAAGAAAAGAAAGAAGTCAATGATCTATTCAATAAAAATTACAGTACTTTAAAAAAGAGATTGTATAGGATTTCAGAAAATGGAAAGTTATTCCCTGATCCTGAACAGGAAGAATCAACATTGTGTAAATGGCCATATTCCCAAAATTTTGATACAGATTAATGCAATCCTAATCAAAATGCCATCAACACAACTCGCAGATCTAGTGAAACAATCTTAAAATTTATTTGGAATTAGAAAAGTCCTAGATAGGGCCAACCAAATAGTTCAGTGGATTAAAGTGACTGCAAGCAGGCACAGGGGCCAAGGGTTCAATCCCTAGGTCTGCTGTGCCGGCCCTGCCCCTGGGACACACTGAAATAGTAATTGAGACTGGGCGTGATGGTGCATTCCTGTAATTTGAGCTCTTATGAGGCTGTAAAAAGGTGGATTACTACAATTCCAATCTAGAAGTGAGACCCTATACACCCTGTAGACCTGTCCCTAAGATAAATAAATAAATAAATAAATATGCAGGGGACATTATAAACCCTGAATTGTAATTATACTACAAACCTATTGTGAGAAAAATCAGCATGTGGGGCCCATGAGATAGCTCAGCAAACTAAAGTGCCTGCTTAGACAAGCACAGGGATCCTAATTCTATCCCCAGCAATACATGCCATGCCAACCCCACCCCCCAGAGCAAGCTGAGCAGGCCAGAGTACATGGGTAGTGGCACATGCATAATTCCACCACTGGGGAGGCTGGAAGCAGGAGGATCACCATGAATCCAAGCTGCACAGTGAGTCCCTGTACCAACTACATTACAAAAAAAAAAAAATCTCTCCTATTCTTATTCTATGATGTTGAAAAAAAAATCAGCATGCTATTGGCAAAAAAAAGAAAGACAGACAGACAGACAGACAGACAGAAAGAAAGAAAAGAAAGAACGAAGAAAGAACTGAGGATCAATGGAAAAGATCAGAAAATGCAGATACAACTACAAACACATTCAGCCACCTTATCTTTGACATAGGGGCCAAACACATTCACTGGAAAAAAAGTTCTCCTCTTTAACAAAGGGTGCTGGGAAAACTGGCTTTCCACATGCTGAAAACTAAAATTAAATCCAGGTTTATCACCATGCATTAAGCCAAAGTCAAAATAGATTAAAGATCTAAACATTAAAACAGAAACACTAAATCTCCTAGAAGAGAAACTAGGTGGAAATCTTGAAGATCTAGGAGTAGGCAGAGAGTTCATGAAAAAAAAAGGAAAAACTGCTCAAGAAATACTTCAAAGAACCAAAAACTGGGATGTGATCTTATTGAGAAGTTTCTGCACATCAGCACAAATCACCAACTTAGTGAAAAGATAACACACAAATTAGGAAACAATCTTAACCAACCATTATGCAGACAAAGGACTTCTCTCAAGAATACATGAAGATCTTAAAAAAAAAAAGCAGGTCCCCAAAATTCAAAGACCCAATCCAAAAATGGATATGTGAGATGAATACACACTTCTCAGAGGAAGAAATACAAATGGTGAATAAATACATGAAAAAAAAAATGTTCCATAGCACTGGTCATTCAAGAAATATAAATTAAAAGAATACTGAGCTACTATCTCACCCCAGCAAAAATTGATATTATAAAGAAATCAACTAATAACAAATGCTAGAGAGGCTATGGGAAAAAAGGAACCTTTCTCCACTTTGGTGCAACCACTATGGAAATCAGTGTGGAGATTTGCAAGTTTTCCCCTTCTAGGTATTTTTCCAAAACAACTGAAAACATCATACCACAGTGACATATTCACACCCATATTTAGACCAGAATAAGTTGCCATAGCCAAATCTTTGAAACAAGCCAAATATCAATGACCTGAGGAATGGATTAAACAAATGTGGTATTTTTATACAATCGATTATTATTCAGCTATAAAGAAAAATAAACTTGAGGCCTTTATAGGTAAATGGATGCAACTAGAGGCTATATTCATGAGTGAAATAAGTCAGGCCCACGTGTATAAATATCATATTGTCTTCCTAGTGTAAGAACCTGAAAGAATAAATGAAATCTGAAAGGAATAATAGGTATAATAATATGGAAAGAAACTCAACATAAGGAATAAACAATTGAGGCAAAGTAGAAAAGAAAGGAAATTTAAAAAGAAGAAAGAAAAACAAAAAGGAGAGAGAGAGAGAGAGAGAGAGAGAGAGAGAGAGAGAGAGAGAGAGAGAGAGA